ACATGATCTCTAAGATCCCTTCCAGCCTTTGCCATTCTATGATTCTATGATGATATCATTTGAACAATATCTCTTCAAATGCTGTTTCATCTTGGAGCAGAAATGAAAAAAGTTTTTGGCTTTGTCTCTATCTTGTTGTGAAAGTGAATAATTTTGGTCATCTCTTGGTGAAGGCACAGAATATTTCTTAAAAGAGTCTTCTAATATATTCAAAGGACCCTTCCTATTGAAACATTGTGGAGAGATCAGTTAATGCTCATATGCTGCTGACATTACTGCTCTTCCTCTTCTATTGGTTTTAATTAAAACATATGGAGAGTATGCACCCAAAGTGAGCTACTGGATCCATTTAAGTTGCTGAGAAACCTACAATTGACTTTTGTTAGAGCCTGGTTTTCCCTTCTAATGTGTCCTTAATTTATAGGTTTTGGAGATTTAAAATGAGATGACTTTATGACGGCAAAGTGCAATAATATATGCAAGACTGTGTGTAGCTGCACCAGTAATACTATGAAAATTTAATGTAACTAATCAACATAAATTTATTTTTGAGACAGCAGACTTGTTTTGGCTTCAGCCCAGAAAATTATTGATTGTGTACTTAATTTCATGCACGTGACTCATCTATTGGCTTGGAACAACTCCTATAGTTAAATTTAAACACATGATCCACATTCTTAGGGATTTTAACTGTATGAAGATAGTTCTGCTCTTATTACTACGTGGTTCTTCAATCACCTGTGAATGATCAATACCTGTTTTCTGTGAACATTGCATATGCAGCCAGCTTTCTCAGTCTGCAGACCTGATGGAAGGTTAGTATATACAAAAAACTGCTCTAACAAAAAGCAAAGTCTCTTTCTACAAACTTTTTATGCTTAGATCATCACAGCTATAATTACTCTATTAGACTTTAAATATTAGGTGTTTGAATAATGTTAATGTTCCAAAGATGAAAGGGGATAATGTTAAACTTCCAGGTAGACAGTCTGGCATCAGAATAACAATGTCTGTTTGTGGATTAACTCTGGAAAAGATTTAAGACTTTAGCATTGCAAAATCAGAATAATGTCGTTTGGGTGAAGACTTGCTTCTATATACATTTCCTGGATTTAGCTTATCATGTTAACACCAAATGACGTGCTGTTTGAAGTCATGCATTTCTACATTATAGAGGGTTTTGTCACAACATACATGAACTAGTACGCTATCACTAAAGGGTGGCATTGACTGTTAAACGCCTTTCCCTCCTCAAGTTTAAGAGTCCAATTTGGAAGTCTGATGGTGAACTGGGCTGTAAATATACACATATATTTTTACGAAAGACATCTTCTGCCTCTAAAGATGCTTTCACACTGTTTCTTTAATTGGGGCTCTTCTCCAGGAATGTCAATGAAATTATAGAAGAGCTCTGTGAAAGAAAAGCTAGGGATTTGGTCTGAATGCATGAGATTGAAGTGGGCAACTCTGCAGTTTGCACCTAGGGTGCTCCTTTGTCAAACATACTGTACTGCTTTCAGCAAGATAATAAGATGATGAGTGAAAATCTTTGCGTTTTGAGAGACAACATATGTGATAACCAGATCCTACTGAAGTGGCACAAATTTTCTTTGAATTCATTGACTCTGAAATTTCTGGGAAAAGACACATTTGCAATGCTTTGATAGACATTTCTGGGTTAGTCTTTTGTATGTCTTGTCATACATTGACTTTGATGAGATGCGGATTATGTCACAAAATGCTTACACGTAATTGATAAATACAATATTTTTGTGGTAAGACTTGACTTAGCTTTACACCTGTCCATTTGTTGGTGCTAGGTAGTAGGCAACTCATGATAACTTGCATGTAAACTTATCAGTAAATCTCTTTCATGGCAAAAAGCAAAACGGAAATAAAAACATACCGATTAATCAAATAACTTGTTCCACCCAGGACGTAGTGTCCTATTCTT